CTCCACTAACGACTTGGTAAGGTACAAAGTGTAATTTCATGGGTTAGCACCTATTTCACATTTTCCTAAGTAACTAAGATTGAGAATTAATAAGTGTTTAGTTACTTAGTATTTATCATTATACTTTTAATGAAGGGAGAATTATAGTCCTTTCCTACCCGTTCGGCTAACGACCCTCCACCAATCAAGGAAGCGGTGGGTGAGAGTGGACACCCATTAAACTGCCATTTTATAGGCAGTAACCTTATACCCCCCTTATAGACCGGCTTCGTGAATGAGGCCTACTAACGGTAAGATTGACTTTATCTTATACATATTTATATAATAATAGTATAAGGGTGTATTTTAAACATTTAAAATATTTGATGGTTTAATCTATTAATTAAACTATACTCTTAATTTAATTAAACTTAAACCATGTCTTTATGGAATTATTAACTCTTTTAATTAAACACTTTAATTAATTTAATGAAGTCCATAAAGTTTGAATTTTAACTTTTAAAATTGTAGAGTTTGGAATTAAAGCATTAATGTGTGTGAGACTTTACAAATTCCAAAACTTGAGGGCAAGTTTTGAAACTATTCAAAACCTTTCATTTCATAACTTATGAGTTTAATGGTTTATTAAAATGAAGACTCTTCATTTTTATGTAACCTCTTATTCTTTAATAACACTTTTAAAGAAGTGACTCTTAAACATCCATAACTTGAAGACAAGTTATGGAGTCATAAAATAATTAAATGTAAAAGACTCTTCATTTTTATGTAACCTATGGCACTTTTATGATTTTTAAGATTCATAAATGTGACCTTTTATGTGACTTGAAGACAAGTTACAAAAACACCTTTTATGAACTTCTTTTAGATTAATATGGATTGAAAGCAACTAACAAATAATATATTTCATCAATCTAAATTACTCATAAAACAAGGCAACACAAAAAAAACTTTTGGCAATCCATAACTTGAGGACAAGTTATGGAGTCCATACCAATTTCATCAAGATCATGAATTATACTAACAAACAATTTGCACATAATTCCTATGATCTAACAAAACTCATAAGCATGAACATTCATAATCAACAATTTTCAAGAATTACATAAACATATATAAACTCGAAACTTCGATTATAGCATTGAAATTGGTTTAACACAATCATTACCACATTAAAAACAGGTTTTATAAGACCAAAACAATCAAAGGTAATGATTCTAGACCAATTCTAGCACCAAAACGCGAAGATATGCTGTTTGGGGGTCCAACTCGTCGAGTGCATGAACCAACTCGGCGAGTTGGATGCATTTTGTCTTGGAGTCGTCGAGTCCCTTGATGGACTCTTCGAGTCCCCTGTCCAGACAGCACAAAACTTCGATTTTTAAGTAGTTTGCATCAAGTATAAGTGAAAACAAGCCTAGGCTCTGATACCACTGTTGGATCTTGAGCATTCTAACCCTCCTATGGTGTACATACAACCCTAAATACATTGGATCTATGTTTTCTCTATTATACATGCAAATATCAATTTTCCAAGGTATTGTTCTAACTAGAATAATATAAAGTACACATAATATAAATTCTAGTAGAATTACATACCTCTTGTTTGGTGCTTGATTCCATGGAGGTCAAGAGCCTAGTGCCCCAAGTGTCGCACCTCAAATGGTTCACACAACATCATAAACACTTGGAATAACTTGAGAGAAAGTAGAACACTTCTAAAATCGGTTTGCCCTCACTTGTTTCTCTAGTGGCCGATTTCTTCAATAATAAGATCATTATATAGTTAGTCACAATTAGGGTAAACCCTAATTGTCATGGCTTCATGGGTTTTAGCCCAACTTGATCATTATATAGTTAGTCACAAAATCGGTTTGCCCTCACTTGTTTCCATTTCCTTGGATCCATGGGTTCAAATACACCATGGAGCATCCTATGGGTTTTAGCCCAACTTGATAATCCATGGAGCATTAGCCCACTATATAAGTATGGATGATTTACACAATCAACCCATATATTTAATTAGTCTTCTTTTGATCACTTAATTAATTCTAGATTAATTCTTGATCAATACTAATTAAATAATCTTATTAATATATTAGAACTTATAATATATTAATAAACTTTAAGTGTTATTTCTCTCATTTTAGTCTATCCAAATGCATGATGCCATGCAACCCAAATGGACCATGCCGGGTCGGGTCAAGAATATACCAATTATAGTTATGGACTTAGACACTAATCCAACAAGAACATACATCACTTTCAGAGTGGTAAGGATAAACTTCATCTTTTTCTGCCATCTACGAAAATCTTGCCCTTCAAACTTGTTCAGTTTTTTAAACTTACTTGTCATTTCTTTCACAGAATCACCACTTGCCATGATCACAAAAGTGCTTTAATCTTTGTAAGAAATTGGGGTATATAAAGGCTTGGAATTCTGAGAATTGTGTTAAACACTTTCAGATTAAAGCATTTGGGTGGTAGTCTCAATATTCTTTAATCGGATAAGACTCAGAGAGACAAGAACTTAGAATGTTTTGATGATAGTTTCGTATGTACGAGAAATGAGACCAAAACCGATTTTATGATATTTGTCTGAAAACTGTCATATGGCAGTTTCAAACAGTCATAAAACTATAAAAAATGACATAAAACGGAAGTTTGGATAAGGGTCAAACAATGGTCAATTCTCTGAAAACCCCGCCAGGGGCTGCCGCTCCTTGGACCCCGCTCCCAGGGGCGCTGCCCCCAAACCTCTGTTCGTTTAGGGGGTTCACCCCTAAATGACAGTGTACTTTGAAACTTAATCAAACTTAAACAAGTGTGTACTCCACACCTTCCTTACTTGTTTAATATTTATCAAGATCACTTTTGGTCAACAAAGTAATCCCATTACACTTAGATAATATTGATGATAACAAATCACCAACATCGAATGCATCTCTTAAACACCCAAATCACCGTGTTCTTTGTGTGTTATTTAATTCCGTATGCCAAACCAATGGTCATAATTCACATCAGTGAGAATGGTTCATTTTTTTGTAAAACCAAAATTAGATTGGAAATTTTGATTTTTTATTTTGGATAATGCCAAACCATTGGTTTTTTATTTCGATTTCGGTTTTTCGTTTTTTTAAAAATATATTTTCAGGGTTTTGTTTTTGTTTTTTTTTTCTTTTTTTTTAATTTCATAGATTTCTTCATCAACAAATGTTGCTAGAATTTAACAAAAATAAATAATTTGCTAAAACAAAATACAACAGGAAGTTCACATTTAGTCATTGAACTTTTTTTTAGAGGGAAACGAACTTTCGATTTTGTTCACATTTAATCACTAAACTTTTTTTCGTTATCTATTTGAACAGTTTCAATAGTTCAGTGACAAATTGATAACGAAAAAAAGTTTAGTGACTAAATATGAACAAAGTCAAAAGTTTGTTACCCTTTCAAGTCATTATCCTATAAAAAATACCCACATGGACTTTCTCTTTCTTTTGTTAGCAATTTATGTTTTGTTAACAAATGTGTCAATCTGATCACTCGGAGTCTCGGCTTGTAGTTTTAAGTCTTAACTCCCAAAAAGACATGTATGTTGTGCTTTTACTAAGTGATTAAAATATTGATTTAAACATTCGTTTTCTGATTTAATTAACTAAAGTAGGCTTTTGTGATAAATACATCTATTTTATTAGTTTTTTAAGGGAAATAATTTAAATCTCAATTTAGAAAAATACACCTACATATTATTCAACTATGATATGCAACGTAAATTGATTTAAAAAAAACTAATATTTGAAGATTGATAAATAGGATGTATTAGTTTGGATATTGATCAGTTATTACGATTTAGAATTATCAATAGTTATTACCATTGAGTAATCAAACCTTTTTTTTTGGTTGTTTTTTTAAATTATAATTTTATTATTATTTTTTTAGCAAAATGACCACTTGGTCCGGAATAAGCATTTCTGACCAGATTTAATATTCGGTAAACGGGTAGATAATTCCGAACCGTTAATATGGTTATCCTATAAATATTCTTTAACCCTTTCCGGACCCAGTTTATTTGCTATTTCATTATTATTCAATTCGTGTATTCAAGTTTATAAAATTATAACTTTTTTTGCATATCTACAAATACAAAATGTCAATTGCATATTCAAACCACTACCGGTTCGTAATTTCAACCAATAGTTATGTCATTATCATATTATTGCAAAACATATACACTTTAATTAGTAAAATTTTTATTATCGATTATCAATTTTAAATAAATAAGTTACAATTTAATTAAAAAAAATTAACTCCGTGATGCCCACGAGTTATAACCTAGTTATAATAACTATTTTCAACTAAAGGTTCAAATGTAAACTAAAATATTAAAAAAAAAAAAATCATACTAATCAAAGTAAACTAGAATATTATTATAAAGATGAGAGGATATTTATTACTAACATTTAACGACCAAAAATATAAGATATACACTTATACGGCGGCTACTTCTTATAAAAACAAAAAAATGTTGGTAAAATTCATTAAAAGCAAGATCTAAAGGGTGAATTAAGTAAATCTAGAACTCTCATTAATAATTAGCTAAGTTCGGTCTAGTAATCACAATAAATGAACAAATCCATAGTTTAAACAACTTTTATTATTAAGTTGAACAGAGGAAGCCTTTAAAACCACATTTGGAATATGAAAGGTTAAAATCCGCTCAACTATCCAGGCCTAAGTAATTTCAAAACAAAAATATTATTAGAATAGTCATTTTTAAAAACTGTAATACAAGTTCTTCAATAAACTTGAACCCATAACAAATGCAGAGCAGATGAATAGAACGAAATGAAACATACATTTTAGAAGCAATATAAACATAAATATCAAATGCATTACACTGACAAAAGAGAACCCGGAGAAATTTCACGACAAAGGTATATAAGCGAAAATAACATGAAAATAGTTATAAATATGACATCTTGCTTTCTCTTTTCACTTTCCATTCACCCAATTTGCAATCGTGAAACACTGCTACAGCTGATCTCACACTTGTCAGGTGCCACCCAAACAAGACTGTCAACATACTCAACAATTTTAAATAAGCGATGTTCTTTATCCGATATTCTGAACTTCCTAAGCTTGGCTGCAATCGGATCATACAAAGCTAGACCACCATTCTTATCTTGAAAACAAAACTCAATGCGTGATGTAAACCCATGTGGAACTATATTACCAAAGTGCGAAAAGACACAGTATTTCGCCCATGACTTAGACACCCCACGCTCATTCATCACCATACCTCACATCCTGCATCTACAACAGTTGACATCATACAAAGCTTCTCACCTAAACGCCCTAAAACATTCAACCGATTCATGTTGTAATCTAGTAGAGAATCTGGAAGAGGAATCTCAGAAAATGATTCGTCACCCAAATCAAATGCAACTATCACTTGTCGCTTACCCTTCAAATCAGAATAACAAAGCCAATGAAGATGGCCATCACGGCCATCTACATAAACTTCATCTTGATCTTCAACCCATGTGATGTGTGATGGGAACTTTTGATTGATTGAATGCCATGAACCTTTTCTCATGCTATAAACCTCGACCTGCAGCCACTCTTTAACAACATCAGAAAGACCGCCAAAGAAGGATGCTAATGCATGATCAATTGGGGGTTTACTGAGAAAGCTTGTTAGCTTAACAAGCTTATAATCGTCAGACGTAGGATCAAACCCGAAGCGCATAAACAAGCGAATCGGAAAAAATCCATAATATGGCTCAGAAATTGGCGGAAGAGCCACCACAGCAGAGAGAGAAGGGTTCCAAATGTGAAGGATAGAGGAAAGACTAGATTCAGAAGAAAAACATATCAATCCATTAACAGAACCAATAACTCTACCAACAGTATCATCATATTGTGGATTTACCGGAAGTATAACGAAATCAGTGAGTTCAATACGAGGAGATTTAGAGGGGTGTGCTGTAAAAGGTTTAGAGTCAAATGAAAAACCCTGAAACGAGACTAAGAGAATTCCATCGTTGTTCTTGACAGAGCGATGAAGGTGGGATTTTACGAATGAGGGTTTAGATAAGAAAGCATTCCAGGACTTGGAGACAGACCTCATTCGAGCTAGTTGTTTAGCCAATAACCTGAGAAATATGTTTGACAGAATCTCGCTTGGGAGGTTCTCCATTGTTGATGGGTGCGGAGGTATTATAATACTTGCCGATCCTCTTTGGAAACCGTAGCAGTTTCCATCGTTTAAATTCCAGGGTAGCAGAAACGTCACACAAAACCAAACAGTTTACTCATACCATTTATTCCCGTTCATTACGAGTTTACTACTATCCTTACCAAGGAAAAAAAAAGGGCCTCCATTTAAAAAAATTACAATAATACGTAGTCACAAAGTTATAGAAATGATTTCTGGAAAAAACTGAAGATTTATCATTGTCACATTTACAAAGTTATAAAAATGGTCCCTGAACCTAGAAACATGAGTTTAGAGACGGACGAATCCGTCGCTAAAGATCATTTGCGACGGATCAACCACAGACTTACTCCATAGCCAATTAAGGGGTGGCTAATGACTTAGCTAGGGATTAGCGACGGATTAGTTTTCTCTCTTGACGGCCGTAGTGACAGAATATCCATTGCAAAATGGCACTTAATACTGTTATTTAGGACATTTGCGACAAAACCTAATAACAATATTCCGTCGCTAATCCCTTGCAAACCTCTATATCTGTTTTTTTTTAATCCGTCGCTAATCCCTCTCAAACTTTAGATGTGATTTTTTTTCTTTCCGTCGCTAATCTCTCGCTAATTTAAGATGTGATTTTTTTTTCTTTTCGTAGCTAATCCCTTGCAAATACATAATACCATATTTTTGTTTGTTTTGAATCTAAAACAAAATAATACCAAAAAATCAAATAGTTATATAATCCCAAAACAAATATTAACATTTAAATACCAAAAATATCGAATAATTATGCAACCCAAAACCAAACTTTAACATTAAAATACCAAAAGAATCTAACCATCAAAGTTTACCAAAACATCCATAAACATAAAATATCAAAGTTTGACATTGATTGATATTTGATTTCAAAGTATAATGTACCATAATTCTAAATTTCCTCTCATATTTTGCATTTCCGCATACACCTTCTCTGTTGCTTGATATCTTGCGTCCAAAAGAAGGATCAGAATGGAATTGGATTCCAATTCTCGTTCGTGGAATTAGGAAAACCAATTTCCACTTAGTTTTTCCTGCAATGGAAGGGGTCTTGGTTGCTTGATGTCTTCTTGTTTTTTGCTAGATTGAGGGTCTTTGTTGGAAGCAGCTTATACAATAATAATATTACAAAAATGGTCTCTATATAATAGCTAGATTGCCTTTAGGTCATGTCTAATATTAAAAATTCACAAATGGTAATAGATAATACCATTTCAAAAAAAAAAGGCACAAAATATTACATAAACAATCCCCTTATTATAGTGATATTACATAATTGGTCCTTGTGTAATATCAAATTTATAGAAATGGTCCTTATGTAATATCGGAATTACAAAATAAGTCTACATGTAAGACAACATTACACTCACCGACTCTATGTAATAACAAAATTATAGAAATGATCAGTGTGTAACAAAGTATTACATAAATTACGTCAAAAATATGAGATTAGTAAACTCTCAACACGCAAGCATCCCAACTAGTTCAGATTAAATGTGGTTTCCAATAAACTTTCATCATGTCAACTAGCATTCCCGTGGAACCCACATAATATCTGTACACATTCTCGGTTTGGGGTTGATGTAGCATGAAGGTGTTTATTTATGGTGTTATAAGAATTAAACAATACGATGTTATATAATGTAACATCCCATTTTTTTTAAAGATAATATTTGAGAAAGTAATTATCTTTTTTAAGTTGTAACAAAAGTTTTTGAATAAAATGAACTTTAATCGGATAAGTTTGCAAAAGTATACAAAAAAAAAAACGATAAGTGTGCTTGAAAATTCATCATTTGTTCATATTGTTTGTGTTTGATTCTTTTGGTTTTCCCGCACTGGAGGTTGTGGAGTTCCTCAATAAAGTTCAATGGTCGTGCATATTAATATTAAGACCTGAAGATCTATAAATATATATTTTCGTAAAACCTGTATTTATAGATCTTCAGGTCTTGATATTAATATGCACGACCATTGAACTCCATTGAGGAGCTCCAGAGCCTCTAGCGCAAGGAGGAGAGAGTCGAATCCTCGTCTTCTACATATTGATTACAAGAGTCGTGACGCTTCGTTATTCTAGGCGAGTAACATCGATTAGATCCAAGCATTTTGCGCCTTTGCTGCCTCTTCCTTTTAACAATTACCGTCGTCCATAACCAAAAATGCAACAAACTTATAGGGTTGGGCTAAATAATATTATACCTATAATATGTTGGGCTGCAATGATGCCCCTCATTTTCTACCCTAAGCTATACCCAATTCGCCCATGTATTAACAGCCCTGGATTTTAGTAGAATTAGTTTTGTCATATATAAAATGTTAGCAACACAACTTGTATCCTATTTGTCTTTCACCTTGATATAAAAGTTTTTTTTATCATGATTACTTAAGTATATACTAATATTAGCAGTGAAATATCGATTGAATGACGTCAAATTAACATATGTCGCAGTTAGACACATTCTATTGCTAACTTCAACTATTGCGACAATTTAATTAGTGCATTTTCATCTACATCCATACGATATTCAACTAATTATACGACTATATGAGGGTTTCACTCTAGTTCACTTCTTACATTTTTAAGAATCATTTTAGGGTTCTTATTCAAAATTTGATGTTTAAAAGAAACATATCACTCTATAATTTAGGTCTCATAAGATGTAATGTAGTAAGGATTTTAGTTCATGTGTGTAACATTTTACTTTGGAGTATTGGAGTCAAAGACGGATGTATGCTCATCTATAATTGCATGCAAATGGTAATTTAAAAGAATTTAAAGATGATTATGTGTTTTATGTTTGATAATTTGATTCATGTTCATTATTGCAAAAGAGTTTGATTTTTCGATGGAAAATGATGGATACAAATAAATATTATAGTTTTACCTAACTAGCCTAACATGCACTCAATGAGGTCAATGACTTATAAGAATATATTTCAAGGATTTGTCATTTGTTAATTGTTATGAACTTAAGAACAAAATATTTAGACAACAACAAGGAAAGTGAAACATTATGTTCTTGGAGCGTAGAATACCTACAATTGTAACACTCGGTTTCAGATTTGCTCCGTTGCTTGGGGCTGCGGCCCGTGGTCATGGGGTTCAGAGCTTCGGGAAAGGAAGGATTTAGCCCATTTCGGATGTAGTTGCCATGATTTAAGTGATCAAAGTGTTCGATTATGTCTTCGGAGGCCAAGGGTATAATCGTAATTTGACATCTTGGTCTTTTAGGGATTTTGGGTTCTTGTTCGGAAAGTTTTTAGGTAAGAGTGAGTGGCTAGAAGCGTAGGGCTTCTCGTCACCTTTCCATGGATATAAAGTTCGTCAAAAACGGAGTTGAAACGAAGAAGTTATGGTCGTTTGAAGTTGGAGTGGTTCGGGTGAGTAATCGTTAACTTGTTGACCAAGCTCATTTAAGGCTCACGACATGAGCATGAAGTGCTCACGACGTGAGAAGCGCCTGATCCTCCAAAACCCTTATTTTCGGGTATTTAAAGGTATGAGATGATTAAGGTCGCTTCTCCTAAGCCTCTTTCACTCCCAAGACCTCTGGAAACCCTAATCACAGCCCCCATTGAAGTCCTTAATCATTCTTGGTGTTATTCATGACTTTTTGGGGTCTTTGAAGCTCATTTAGGAAGAAGAAGATCATTATGGTGCATTTGTTGGCATCTTGGCTTCATCATCAGCTAGTTGTGGAGCTTTTGGACCTTTGTAAGTCCTCAAGCTCATGCCTTTCCTTTCCTTACTTACTAGATCTAAGTTTCCATGCAATTTATGGCTAGTAATGTTGGCTAGCATGCATGGGATCCATAAAGTTGGCAACTTTATGGATCATGGTGGTATCTTAAGTCTTATAAGTCTCAGATCTGGATTTTGGTCATGGTTTTGGACTACAAGTTTGAGTCTTAGACCTTTTTCCTTCATTTTGACCTAAGTTGGTGTTTGAGTCATGTATTGGACATACATGACTAAAAAGCTTCGATTTTTATGGCCCTTGGGGTCAAGGAAGACCCTCTAGACTATCCCATGTCACGACTTAATGGATTAGGAGCATAATGCTATTTTTTTGGGTTAGAACCGGACTCATGACGTGAGGAATAAGACCTCACAACGTGAGATCGTGTTCGAGGATGTTTCTGGGAAGAGCCTCGACCTCACGACGTGATCATAAGGTGTTCACGACGTGAGCATCTCCTGTGCAAGTTTCAGACTCTTTGATGGTTGGCTAGCTTACTCTTGGACTTATCCTTTGGTTTAGGCTCATAATGGACTAAGGATTTTAGAGTAATGGACTTTTGGTTGGGCAGCCTTGCTGGGCTTGCCCTAATGGGCCTTGGATGGTGAATTAGGCCTTAGTGGGCCCAATGTAGTTAGGCATTGAGTGGGCCCAATGGGTTTGGACCTTTGGGCCATTGGAAAATCATTGTACCATGAATTTTTGGGCTTTAGGGTAACGAAAATATGGGGTTGGGCCTAATTTGGAAAATTGGGCCATTAATGGGCTTTTATGGATTTTGGAGTTTTGGGCTTGGGCCTTAGTTATGTATCTTGTTGGACTAGGGGTAAAATGGTCATTTTACCCCAAGTATGGATTCTGGATCATGGTTTGGGACCTAATTGCTAATTGGGTGATATTTTGGTATTGATAGCTCGAGGAGTTGCCAGGACAACAACTAAGGATTTCTTGCAGTGGACTTCACCGGTGTGAAGTGAGTTACCTTCTTATGTGAGTGGGTCTAAGGCACCAATGCCGACCCACTAGTAGTTGATTATAGTAGAGATGTTTGTCTTTGTGATAATTGCCTGGTATGTCACTATCTGTTGAAATTTATGTGCTTGTATGCTATGTATTATGTGGTAGTGGTAGGAGGGATGAAATAGACCCCGTAACCAGTTGAGATAAACCGGAGGGTATGTCGGGCACCCATATATGCTTGATAGTATGGTTATGATATTTTATTATGTGGTAGTGGTAGGAGGGTGAAATAGACCTCGTAACCGGTCGAAATAAACCGGAGGGTATGTCGGGCACCCAGATATGCCTGACAAGGGTAGGTCGGGCACCCAGATATGCCTGACAGGGTAGGTCGGGCACCCCGATATGCCTGACATGGGTAGGTTGAGCACCCATGTATGTTTAACAGGGCATGTCGGACACACATATATGCCTGACAAAGGTAGGTCGGGCACCTAGATATGCCTGACAGGGGTAGGTTGGGCACCCCGGTATGCCCGACATGGGTAGGTTGAACACCCAAGTATGCTCAACAGGGTAGGTCAGACACCCATATATGCCTGATAGTATGTTTATTGTATGGTATGTGGTATGATGGTGGAACTCACTAAACTTCGTTCTTACGTTTTACAGTTTTGGTTTCAGGTACTTCTTCTTCGAAGGGAAATGAGCCGGCATGATTGTAGCGCATCGCACTATGATTTTCCGCACATGAGATCTTTGGGTGTTGTACTTTGATGTTATTGTTGTATGACATGTTTTGACACTTGTGTTGGTTATGGTTTGGATGATACTGTTGACGTTCTCAGACTAACGTTTTTATATATTAGTTAATTAAATATGAAATTTTGTGTTATGAATTTTGGGTCGTTTCAACAACACACTTACAACTTCTTTTTCAGTGCCTTGTTGTCATGTTAGGGGATGTTCGTTTCACATCTTGATGGTTCCATTAAGAGTAACATGACTCGATGAACTTTAAAGTGTTTGGTTCTTTTTATTTTGTCAACTTAAGCAAAGGATCATTTTTGCCTCTAAACCATTCATACATGAAGTTATATCTGAACCATTCACGCTAAGAAACCCCACCCATTACCCTCGCTACCTCCAACCATCCACGCCTTCCTCACGGCCAATGTTGCTCTTGTATTCCACCATTGACGTCTCCTACCGCCGCCATCCTCCTTGAGTTTTCCCTCCTTCCTTAAAGACACAAAAAGAAATGACAACTTCCTTGTCGTCATCCTCATTGCCTCATATGATCTCCTCCCATCAGCAGCCACAACAAGCACCGACAACCTCCTCCCTCCATCCTCACCACCTTTACCATCACTGTCATCGTTGTCTTCCTCTTTCCTTGTTTATGAAATCGATTTTGGTAAGTTGCTAGAATCGTCTTCCTCGATCCTTGTTTTTTGAAATTTGAAGTTGAATTAAAGTAGGCTCCTTGAAATTGTCTTTCCTAAACTACGTATCAACATAATTTTCATTTCTTGTGTTCATAAGGTTCCCTTTTAGTTTAATCCTAGAACTAAATTATATGAGGGAACATATGAATAAATCCAAATTTCAAAAATGTGATTTGTATAAGCAATCACAACTCTATAATTTCTCGCTGTGTTAGTTTTCTTTTGACCTTTCCTATCACAATTCATAATTGAAAGCCGACTCTAATGTACGCTTAATTTTCTTATTGGCATATATTGAAGGGAAAATGACACAAATGTCCTACGAACTTTCTAGGGTTTACCCGTTGAGTCCATAAAGTTTTTGTCGGGCTTTATGGGTCCCTAAACTAGGATATGACCTGCCCTTTTAGTCCCTGTCAACTTGTAACAGCCGGTTCAGTGACCTTTTAGACCAAATAAACTCACGTTGTGCCCCTATAAAGCCAAAAAAATAAGTTCGGGGATCAATTCGTACAAAAAAAACTCTCCTTTTCTTCTAAAGCCAATTCACACTCAATTCGTACCCTCCCAAGAAATCGATCGTTGCTCTTCTTTCCGTCTTCACCCTCGATCGTCACACACACTCACCGAAGATCACAACCCGCTTCCCCTTCTAATTGATTCTCAATTACAACCCCTTCCACTATTTTCGTTGATTCGATTTCAGCTCTTCAAGGAATTGACCTCCTCCTTCCCTCTTCTCTGTTCAAAATCGCACAAGCTACCTCTCCTTCTCCCTCTGAGTTGCAGGTTTGATGGATGCGATGTTGAGAATGATGCGTGAGTTTGATGAGGTTCACAGAGAAACGAGAGTTAATATCTTTTTTTCTTCGATTTGCATGTGATTGGTTATGGTGGCTGACTGGTGGTTTTTATGGGTTATGGGTGCTCCAACGGTGGCTTATTTCACGAGACAAAGGGGAGGAATAAGGGTGTTTGGATTGGGCTGTTGTGATATTGATTCGATGGTGATTAAGGTGGGTTATGGTGGCTGTAATGGCCGAATAAAATGTTGATGAACATTTGGTTAAGGAGGGTACGAATTGAGTGTGAATTGGCTTTAGAAGAAAATGAAAGTTTTTTTTTTTTGTACGAATTGATCCCCGAACTTATTTTTTTGGCTTTATAGGGCACAATGTGAGTTTTTTTGGTCTAAAAGGTCACTGAACCGACTATTACAGGTTGAAAGGGACTAAAAGAGCATGTCATATCCTAGTTTAGGGACCCATAAAGTCCGACAAAACTTTAGGGACTCAACGGGTAAACCCTTGAAAGTTCGTAGGGCATTTGTGTCATTTTCCCTATATAGAATTAGCCTTGTTTTACAATCTTAAGGACATGATTTGATCTTCCTTTACAATTTCAATAATTTATTTGATGTTGTGTAATTTTAAGAATTGGTTTGTGTTGTGCAAATCTAGATAGTAGGGTAAAATGATAGTTTAATCATTCAACAACATTATCAACCTATGTGACTGTAAGGCAAGTTTCCTTCAAGGTTCCTTAACAAATATCAACTTCCAATAAATACGATATATTTTAACCTACATCTTATTTCACTGCAAACATACTTTGTGGAAACCAAATACATACAATCCAATCTAAAAGCTTCACCTCCACGTGAGACTACTAATTCATTAACATTTTTTTTTTTTTGGGTTTAGTTGAGATCCAAAACATCAACCCAACCTAACTATAAAAAAAACTGAAGACACAAAAACATGAAATATCAAATACAAACTACAAAACATAGTCTACACATCTTTGGCGTCTTGACAAATACAATTTTTATCATCTAAATTAAGGTTTAAACAAAGTTGATAGTCTTGCATTAATATCGTTTAAAATAGTAAGTTAATTTTTTTTTTTTATCAAACATGAACTCACAATGAGTAGTTAGAAGAAAATTCTAAAAAAATCCTTAAATAGCAATAAGGCTTAGATGTTTACAATACCACCAACAGAGATGTACAATATATCAGAAATGTAAAAAGAGGATTAACTTTTCGGCATACATAGCAACTGAAACATAATGAAAACACACACCATGTCGGCAGTGGATAAAGTAGATGTAATTAATGGACTAAAAACTGAAACTTGACCTAAACAAAATTAAAAAACAGAGCCTCATGCAAAGTAATTAAGACAAGAGAGATAGAATAAGTAGACAATCTAAAGGCTTACCTCCCCATATTACTAAATATCACTGATGCCTCTTCAATTATTCAATTTATTGGCAGGTGCTATCCAAACAGGACTGTCAACATACTCCACAACTTTACTTCCATTAGATAATTTATGAATCTTGAAGGTTTTAGTCTTGGTTGTAACCAGATCATACAAATCATAACGATCCACATCATCCATAAATCCAAAAAGAAACTCACTGCGTGATGTAAATCCAAAATGGTATTATTCTATCATCACCATTAAACTGGGAAAACGCATGATGTTTGACCCATGATTCAGCCACCCCATACTCATCCATCACCCACAACTCACATTTACCACTTTCAAAAATGCACGACATCACACAAAGCTTTCCAGCCAAAACTCCTAACACAATGAAGCACTCATGCCCACCATAATCTAGTAAAGAATCTGGAAGAGGTATCTCACTGAATGTCTTTACACTCAAATCAAATGCCAATATCGATGGTGTCATCCAGTTCAAACCAGTATAACAAAGCCAATGAACATGGCCTTCATGGCCATCTACACAAACTTCATCTTCATCTTTAATCCCTGTGATGTGTGATGGAAAGCTTTGAAATATCAACTCCCAGGAACCTTTTCTCAGGCTATAAACCTCAACTTGTGGTTCCATTCTGCGTGGGTTGAAAAGCGCTATGAGCTTAACAAGTTTGTAATCATCAGTTTTGGGATCATACCCAAACCGAAAGTAGATTTTTCCTGGATTATGGGAGGAGCCCAAAGAACATGGTGGGAGAGTTAACACTGCAGAGAGAGAATGGTTTCGAATGCAAACAGCATAATCATCACCTACTCTATAATAAAAGCATATTAAGCCATTCACAGATCCTATGATATTGCCAAAACTACGTTCAGATTGGGGATTAGCGTGGAATTTAAAGAAATTAGTGAATTCGATTTTGGGAGAATGAGAGGGCCTTGCAGTGATTGAAATACAGTCAAACCCGAAACCAAAGAACATGAGAATCTCATCGTTGTGATGGATAGAACGATGGAGGTGGGATTTTACAAAGGAAGATTCAGATAAGAGAGCATTCCAATCTTTACAAACACGCCTCATTTGAGCAAGCTGTTTGGCCGATAACTGGATGAATATATCTGATAAAACTTCATGTGGGAGGTTCTCCATGGTAGTTGGGTGTCGTGTTCCTTCTATGTTCTTCTGCTTAAAAGTGTATATTTGGATTTTTGGAGCTGAGGAGCTGCAAGCTAACAGGAGAAGCAGTTAGAAAAGGGTCAGTTAATGGCCAACCAACTGAAAGGCTTTTGACATCAATCTCTTCAATTGATAATGGTTTATGAGTTAATGCCCAACTGCAGAAATTTGTGCATGTGTTATGGGTCTTGTATGGTCATAGCCGATGATTTATGTTTTCTTTTTTAAGATCAATGCTTGTTAATGCCCAACTGAAAGGGCTTTTGACATCAATTTTGCCGGTTCCTTTTCAAGGGTTTTCCCCAGTTCAACATATAAGCTTTCTTTATGGTGACAATTTCTTCAATTGACATTGATTTATGAGTTAAATTTTCGGATTTTCACAAATAAAGATGATTTTTAAGGACAATATTAGATTATTTTAAATTTCTTTCTTTCTAGATTGTTAATAAGGAAACCCTAATAAAAATAACACGGGGGAAGACTAGAGACAATGAGAGAGAATCGGAGAGAGAAACATACAGCGAGACAGTGACAGCAAGACTCAGTGAGATCACCAGCGCAGAGCGGCGGCAAGTGGCGAGACAACGAGAGTTTTGAAACGGTTTGGAATTCCCGGGTAGACTGTAGAGATTACAAATAAAGGTTAATTCTTAGAAATAGAGATAAAAGGAGCACATATTAGGGAAAATACCGTATAAGGATAAGTATGTTTTAAAAACATTCGAAAAACACCTGTTCAAAAAATACCATCCAGCTAAGGGGTTAGTACAAACAAAACAACCAAGTATACGTTTTGTTCAAATCTCACCCATTTTCCTGCAGGATAAATGCTGATGTGGCCTAATACAATTACTTGGTGACATGACATAAGTGTGAGTGACATGGCTGTAATTGACGTACTCCTCCTTGGCTCCTTCATAAATCGAATTACCGCTTCATTTATCAACATACTCTTCTTCTTTTCGTCATTATCATTCTTCTTCTCGTCTCCTATGATGGCTTGGTATGTTTAACTAAGCTTTATAATACCCTTTTCCAATATATTTGCTTGGTATGTGATTAATTTTTGCTGCATATGTTCGGAAAGTCATAAGCTTGGCCAGAGAACAACTTACATATCTAGTATTAGGGTTTATGATATGTTCTAGACTATAATGAAATGTGGTCATGGATCTATAATTCTGTATTGCTTCTTGCTTCGTACGATTCTTAATACCAAATTGGGACTTTAGGTGATAGATCCCTTGCATCTTCTATATACTTGGATTGAGATGTCCGTTTGAAGCAATTACACAAAACACCCTTTCTTCACTATTATGTGAATGTTATAATATCTAAAATATTGCAAGTACGTTGCTATTATTTATACAGAGCAAATTATGTTATTATCGGTAATAAATGGAAATCCATTGCTATTATGGGTTAGGAAATGAAATCACATTGTTGGTACATATAAAAGCTAAAGTACGTTGCCTATATTGGTTTCCAATAAGGTCATAATAATCCATCAAGAACTTCTGCACCGAATAGTGAACAATCTTTATTTATATCACAAAAGGCAACCATCTTTAGTAATGTCTCGACTTAATCTGATCCCATTCACTCATTGTATATACCCTTTCAAAAAGATGGGTTATTTTCTTTTTTTGATCCTTTAAAATCTGAATCTAATTCCTGAAATCAGATCAGAACATGTTCCTAGAACATAAATGTGAACATGAGGTGAAGTATGCAACCAATCTTCAAGATTTAAATAAGTTATTGGTGATTTTCCAGCCACATTCCCCAACTACAAACAGGGACGGAGCCGGAATTTTAACGGGTGCTTACCTTCCTGGACTATGAAAACACATTCTTTGCCATAATTTATTTTTTCCTTTTATCTAACCATGATGTGGTATATGACCTAACTCGATGTGAGTTGGATAACTTAAGACCGAAGGTCGTTTTTGGGATTATGAATCAAAGAATCTTACATCATTTAAATTTTAAATATCAATTTTTTTCACGTTCAGTATTGGCTATTCGATATTATTATTACTTTCACGCAATAAGGGTGTATTATAACATCTTCCATAAAATTATTCAGTAACAAGATTCAATTGTGGGCCATGAACATGTTTTTTTTAGAAAGGAATTGATGGTTTTTTTCTCGCTCATGATTTAGCTATGATTATAAAACATCAAATTAACAAGCATAATAACATTCTAATTACAAATTACTGAAAATTTAATAGTATCTGTAATAAATTTAATGATTAGTTTGTTATTAATCAGAATTTAACATCACAATGGTATTAAAATAATAACTCAATATTTACATAGAAGGTTTTTAAAATATTAAGTCCACAAGACCACCACAATTCAATTCATTGGGGGGAGGAAGTGACTTTTAATTTCAAAGTATAGGCTTGTGTGTGGTTTTATCTAATAAAATACTTCAAAAATAGATGACGAGATTAGGGGGGAGACACATTCGCTTGCCCCGGTAGTGGCTCCGCCAATGGCTACAAAGATCCTATTACAATAAAAAAAAAAAAGGGGAACCTAATAAGAAAACATATGCTTGCTTATTTGATTATAAATGAATAACTTTTTGCTTAGTTAACTATGATGAAAAGTCACCTCTTGTAACTGTTTTTTTGTTTTTGACATCCACTAGTGTCACATGTGATTGAATGAAGTGCTTGCAACGTCATTATACAATCTAATAATCACCAACAACTGATTTAAATCTTGAAGATTGGTTGCATACTTCACCTCATATACACTGTAATTACAACTTTATACAAATATGTATCTTATCTATGTCTTTCTTATTCCTGTTGGTTGATTTGCTTGATTTCAGTTTGCTCACCAAGAGCAGCCTGAAGTCTCCAAACCTGAAAAAGATAAATAAAGATTAAATTTGTTAAGCACAAATCACCATAAAAAAAATTAATACACAAAGAGAATAAGTATTGATTATTTTTGTCAGTGCTTACCTCCTGAACATTGTTACCACGTCTTGAAATTCGGGAAGAACATTTTTGCTTTTGGTGAGGCTCGAGGGAACTTAATAACATCCTTTAAAAATGTCAAGTCTTTTTTGAGCATCAGAAGCCTCAATGGTAAACTTGTGGAGAGAAGGGGAAAGAGCAAGAAGAAGCTTTATGAAGAGCAGTTCCGGTGTTGATCCTTGGAAAGATTTTATCTCCACAGTTTGAGACTTCTAAATGATCTGAAGAAGGTCCTGTTGGGATTAATCGATTATTTACCTAGGTCACGTGATTATGCATATGGCTGGATTTAGATTTATTTATGGTTTTATATGTTATGTTTTTATTAATATTTTATTAGGTAGAATAAGTATTTTGGTTTGACCGAATTTGTTAGAGTTGTACGTTGAGAAAGTGACGTTGGAAGATTGAGTCATGGGGTTGTACCAGTTCTTTAGGTGAAGTAATGGGTAGAACTGTATGGCTACTTTCATGCCTCACGTGGTACTCGATAAGGCTATATATAGCCATCTCTTTTCATGAATAAAGTAATGTGTTTTCCTCTATAAACTTTTGGACACTTCTTCTTTCTTTTCGTTAACTATTTTTATATTGTGAGCTTCTTTTCATCCGTGAGTTTTGACACTTGAGTGGGAGATTTCATAGTTGAGAAACTACATTTGGTATCAGAGCCCCACGGTTCTGGTGAAGGGGGTGTAACTCGTTTTTGTTAGCAGGCTGAAAAAATTGCAGCCTCCATCCTTGATCCATCTATTCAGTGTTAGAGGAGCCTAACCAAAAGCGGAAGAGACAAGCAGAAAAAATCAAAATGGGTGGGATTTTGGTTTGGCTTGCTTGCTGGGTAAAGGAAAACGGGATAGGCAGAAGCTTTGTTTTCTTGACTGGTGGAAAAAGCTCCTGGAACAGGTGAGATCGGAAGAGGTTGGGGCTGTGAAAAGAAAGAAAATAGTGACCATGGTACCAGCAAAAGAAGGTGGTTCAATGACATATCAGGTTCCGGTTCTGACCCCAACAAATTATCCGGTGTGGGCGGTCAAAGTGAAGTCCATTATGGATGCAAATGGCATATGGGAGACCGTTGAAGCGAGGGTGTCGGGTGACGAATCTGATCCAAAGAAGAAGAAACAAGCTCTTGCTTTCCTGTTTCAAGCAATACCAGAAGAGATGGTGTTGCAAATGTCCGATTACACCGATCCAAAAAGGGTTTGGGAAGGATTAAAAACTCGGTATTTGGGTGTGGATCGGGTAAGAACGACTCGATTAGCAACTTTGAAGAGGGAACTAGAAAGCTTGCGTATGAAGGAGGGAGAAACCGTTGATGATTTTGCAGCCAAGTTGAGTGGTTTAGCTTCGAAAGCACGGAGTCTCGGACATGAACTTGAAGAAGTTGACTTGGTGAAAAGGCTACTTGATTCTATGCCCAAGTCCTTTCTTCAAATTGTGGCGTCGATTGAGCAATGCTTTGAGTTGGATACGATGCTTTTTGATGAAGCCGTCGGTAGATTAAAGGCATATGAGGAGCGCATCAAAGGATCCGAGAAGGTGGAGGACGTTCATGGTGGGTTGTTGTTGTCAAGAGAAGAAAAGTCGGATGGTTGTATGCGTTGTGGCAGTGGCGGTTCGCATCGGGATGGCTTTGGACGTGGCCGGGGAAGAGGTCGTGGGTCCGGGAAGAGCCAAGATGGTAAGGAACGTGTTCGGGACAAGAGTCACGTAAAATGCTACAAATGTGGTGAATTCGGTCATTACAACAACGAATGTCCAAAGTGGGAAAAAGAAGCAAACTTGATCATCGAAGATGAACCGGCATTACTGTGAATGGAGTGGAAAAATAACCGATTAAGGGGGTGATTGTTGGGATTAATCGATTATTTACCTAGGTCACGTGATTATGCATATGGCTGGATTTAGATTTATTTATGGTTTTATATGTTATGTTTTTATTAATAGTTTATTAGGTAGAATAGGTATTTTGGTTTGACCGAATTTGTTGGAGTTGTACGTTGAGAAAGTGACGTTGGAAGATTGAGTCATGGGGTTGTACCGGTTCTTTAGGTGAAGTAATGGGTAGAACTGTATGGCTACTTTCATGCCTCACGTGGTACTCGATAAGGCTATATATAGCCATCTCTTTTCATGAATAAAGTAATGTGTTTTCCTCTATAAACTTCTGGACACTTCTTCTTTCTTTTCATTAACTATTTTTATATTGTGAGCTTCTTTTCATCCGTGAGTTTTGACACTTGAGTGGGAGATTTCAGAGTTGAGAAACTACATTTGGTATCAGAGCCCCACGGTTCTGGTGAAGGGGGTGTAACTCGTTTTTGTTAGCAGGCTGAAAAAATTGCAGCCTCCATCCTTGATCCATCTGTTCAGTGTTAGAGGAGCCTAACCAGAAGCGGAAGAGACAAGCAGAAAAAATCAAAACGGGTGGGATTTTGGTTTGGCTTGCTTGCTGGGTAAAGGAAAACGGGATAGGCAGAAGCTTTGTTTTCTTGACTGGTGGAAAAAGCTCCTGGAACAGGTGAGATCGGAAGAGGTTGGGGCTGTGAAAAGAAAGAAAATAGTGACCATGGTACCAGCAAAAGAAGGTGGTTCAATGACATATCAGGTTCCGGTTCTGACCCCAACAAATTATCCGGTGTGGGCGGTCAAAGTGAAGTCCATTATGGATGCAAATGGCATATGGGAGACCGTTGAAGCGAGGGTGTCGGGTGACGAATCAGATCCAAAGAAGAAGAAACAAGCTCTTGCTTTCCTGTTTCAAGCAATACCATAAGAGATGGTGTTGCAAATGTCCGATTACACCGATCCAAAAAGGGTTTGGGAAGGATTAAAAACTCGGTATTTGGGTGTGGATCGGGTAAGAACGGCTCGATTAGCAACTTTGAAGAGGGAACTAGAAAGCTTGCGTATGAAGGAGGGAGAAACCGTTGATGA